TAATAATATAAAAAAAGAAAAAAAAACAAAAAAACAAAAAAAGAAAGAAAGAGAGAAAGACACGGTCATGGGGATAGTGTGTAAGGTGGAGGAACATAAATGGGAAAATGAATGTCTGAAATTTGGAGTAGATTTTTATCAAATGGTGCAAAATAATTTGGACATTTTCCTCTTAAAAGAAGTATTAAGGGGTTATATCAGAGAACCCCTTTTTTAATTGTTTAGTAAATACTTAACAATAGTGTAATAACTTTTTAATAATTATTTTATTTTACATTTCAATAGCTAGTATGTTGTGCTTAGGGTGTCAACGAGTCGAGCCGAGTTCGGCTATTTTGGCAGACTCGAGATCGAGCTCGAGCTCAATTTGGTTTTTTTTGTTAAATAAATAATTTTTTTTATTAAAAATTATTTATAGTATAATGAAAAAAATTATAAAATAAATAATGAACTGTAGTTATATATATTTTTAATTTTTTAATGTTATTTTTATATAATTAGTATAATATATAATATTTTTATGCATTATATAAGTGATATAGACACACACACACACACACCCAACTATATATATATATATATATAGATAGATATATATATATATATATATAGACGCGCACGCGCGCGCGCGCGCATATATATATATATATATATATATATATATATATATATATATATATATATATATATATATATATATATATATATATATATATATATATATATATATATAATCAGTTCGTGATTTGCCGAACAATTATAATTGGGCTCGAGTTCGAACTCGTCCGAATCTCGAACTCGTGAGCTCGAGGTCGAGCCTTTGTCGAGCCGGCTCGGCTCGTTTACTACTAGTTGTGTTAATTTGAATCAATACATTTTTAGTAACTAAATTCCCAATAGAATGCAATAAAGTCCAAAATAAAATGAGTAATAATTAATGCCATTACATCAATTGTACATCACACAAAATTAGTGACAAATTTGGTGTTTGGAGCAATATTGGTAATATGTGAACAATAGTTGGTGGTGGTGGGGTGAGTTCCAGCTATTTGCCAGGATATCCTTTACAAAGTGGTAAAATGACATGGCTCATGCGCCCCCTACATTATTATTTATATCCACATATATATTGTTTAATATTATTATGTTTATCTTTATGTATTACATTACTATTTATGTATTACATTACTATTACGTATTACTATCATCATTATCGCAATAAATATGCTTGAACCCCTAAATTGATAAATAATAAGAAGAAGGAAAAAAATTGCATAAGAACATAATGAAATTCTGGGTCGTTCCTGAGAAATTAGGGGCTGTAGGTGAGTTTTAAATTTACTAAAAGTGGGGCCCACTGTTATACAATGTGTGCATTGATTCGCTCTTACCAGTACAGCTGAACTAGAATTTTTTATTAGAAATTGAAATTTTTTTTAGATATATATGACTAGAATATATAAACTATGTCAAATAATATCGTAGTGAGTTGTGACGAGTGGAAGAGTTATCAGTTATCACTATTCAATTTAAAATTGTTGAACTATTAGTAAATTTTAAAAATAATTTAATACTATAACTAATATATAAAAAGTATAAAAATAATATTTGGAAGCCCCTAAATTTTTATAAAAATTGGGAGCCTGGCCTAGGCGACGGTCTCTGTCTCTCTCGTCTATAGTTAGAATGGGCCTTGAATTGAAATTGCAAGCATTTTTTCACACAATAAAGATGAATTGATGTATGCAGAACGAGTTTTAAGTTTACCGGTTAGATAATGTATTGATGAGACGTTATTATATTTAACATCCAAAAATAATATTACGAGGCTTTGAACTAGGGGTCAAAGTCGAGTGGAACTTATATAAATTAATCTTTTCGGAAAAATACCACAAAATTCTAAATTCTCAAAATCATAATGTCAAAACACCAAAACAACTTTTCCATAATAGATCAAACACATTAGCTCTTCCAAAATTATATCAACAATAAGTAATATTTCGAAAGAAAAAAAAATCACTTGTATCATATCTTATCGTGCTATCACCAATAGTCTAATATAGTATGAGGAAAATTCATACACATGACAAACCGTGGCATAATATCCAATAAATTTTGCAACAATTTAATATGTCAAAATTCTCTAACAAAACTTCAATCCAATTTTCGTCTACCACTCTTCCAATGCATAAATTAAACACTTAATATTTTTGTACTAAATAAAATTAAATAAGAGACGTAACCTACATATTATTTATAGGTTTATTTTTTGGGAAAAAAAATGGAATGTTCGAAATAATTTCAGAAACTGGAAATTCCAAATATTTTTTTATATAATTCTAATTCTGATTAAAAATAATTAGAAAAATCAAAAATCAAAATTTCAAAAGTTGGAATGCAAAAAGTTATTACAAAATATCGAGATTTTTTGAATCGAAACCAACGAAAATTGGAAATTACATACCAGCTTGCACCTACCCCTACTTTGGACCCAATAAAGAAATGGAGAGGTGTGTGAAACTTTGGGATTGATTGAAATCTTATTAATTTCAATCAGAATCATTACGTAATCATGATAATGACAACCACGATAAGTCACTTTCTACCAAGAATTATATGTAGAATCAAGTTATAAGTTTTTTGGTTAAATATACTTTGCACCCCTGAAGTATAGCCGATGTAACACTTACCCTCTTACAGTATTATTTGTAACACTTAGCTCCTCAACATCAATTATTTTATATTTTAAAATTTAAAACATAACAATCTAATAATTATTGGATCATATAAAATTGAAAAAAGTAACTAAAATTAAATTATTGTAAAATGATTAAAAAGTAATATATATTGTATAATAATGAATGAAAATATATTTTAAAAAAATAATGAACTAAAATAAATTTAAATACTTAAGATTAATATTAGTTATGTATTGATTTATTAAAATTTAAAGATATGAATATATTTGATTAATTATTGGTCCAACAACAATTAGATGTTATTTATTAAATATGTACCTAACACGCAGGATAATATTTTTAAATTTTAAAGTATAGCAATTTTTAACAGATATTTTTCGTTGTATAATTTAATTATTATTTTAGTTATTCCTTTCAATATATATAACAGAGAAATTTTTAAGGTATTAGAATTTAAAATACAAATTAAATTGTTCTTGAGGGGTAAGTGTTACAAATAATACTTTAAGGGCGTGAGTGTACATAGGGTAGGTATACTTTAGAGGCGTAAACTGTATTTAACCCTAAGTTTTTATCCTCTAAAAGTTTTTTTTTATTTATTATTAAAACAAATTGGGCGGTTCCAAATAAATGAGAAATCATTATCCCGAAATTAAATGATGGCAAGTGGTTAGTCCATTATTAATGGTTAAGTGGTTGAATAATTACTAATGTGGTTGTATTTCGTGGTTTGCTACATCATTTCGTAACTAACTAACAACTGTAATCAGACAAAAAAATATGGAGGATTGAAATGCAATATTAACAACTACGCCTAAATTGATCGATTTTACAATTTATATTTTCAATAATTTTACTTCAAGGCCTTTCACATTTGTTGGTTTACTCGTAGAAGTAATTTGATTTTTTTTTTCTTTTTATTGTTCTTTTAAATAACTTGAGACAACATAATACATAGGGGTTTGTTATTATTAATGTAATTTTTTTCAGTTGCAGTTAGAAATAATTCATTTGTAGAGAAACCGTTTAACAGGTAGAGAGTGACATCTAATTTCTTGATGTTGTCTTCTACAACTAGATCTCTCGTACAATTCTAATGTTGCAGTGGCGGCAGCTGGAAATTTGAAGAGCAAATGACGACGGCGGTCGGATATGTGGAAGATGGTAGAATGAAGAGAGAAGATGAAGGCTATGAAAGAAAGCAAAAAGGATAACATAGAATAATGAAAAACTAGAGGTAATATAGACAATTAATTTGATAAAATATTAAATTAAATTATGAAAAGAGGAGGTTCTCACTAATACAACAAAAAGGATGTCGATCCATTCTTGTATACCCTAATGTGTTCGTGGTTCCACTAATAATCCATTTAGACCTCGTTTATTTGGAGAAATTAACTATGATTAACTAAATAATGGGATTTTATTTTATATTTGGTATCCCCATAATTTGTCGCATCGATCTGCAAATATTATGTTATCATGATTCATGTCTTACTTGCCTTGTAGGCATGTTTTTTATTGAATCTTCTGAGGTTCAATAATACAATGAATTTTATTAAATTATTTAATTTTATCTTGGCTAATTTTATCTTGATAACAAAACGAGACCGTAAAGTATATCATTACAATCTACATAGTCAAAAAGTATTTGAACTTCTTACATCTCCCATATGAGAAAACGACAATACTACTAGAATAAATCATTTGATTTATCTATAGATGCGAGATCAAGGGTTCGAATCAGCTCCCACCTACTTTTGTAGGTAATAAGATTAGAGTTTTCGTTTCCTATATAATAAAATATATATGCAAAATTTAAACTGTATTAAAAAAAAAAAAAAAAAAAAAAAAAATACCTAAAGAGTTGTCAATTATATCAAGAATCCCACTCATATGGAATCTGATCATCATAGAGAGAGAAAGTAGAAAATTTTGGAGCGAAGGGCAATTACTATATTCTGTATTGTACTGAGTTAAGAAGCAAAAAGCTTTCCCAACAGAATCCCAGTAATGGAAAAACTCATTTCCCTGTGAACATTCGATTTACAACAAATGGTCCCGTTCGGTTTCGAATGAATAATTCGATGGCTCCATTAGTACCGAAAACCATTCATTTCTAAATACTCGTTACCAAAATACCGCACACAAAAAGAACGAATATTTTGTGCATCAGTAGATCTAGTAATTTCGCAACCGTCACATCATCCCAGTTGGCCTGCTAAAATAATTAACCTAGCCGTGGTTTATAATACGCCCAAGTATAATTTGATTCGGGTTTACCAGAAACGTGCAGAAATTGTTACGTGCGCGATATCGAGATTAAATAACCATAACACGAATAAAGCAAACATTTCATCTAACAATAATACAAGAAAAGATTCTTTCCAATCTATGAAAATAATTGAATTCTATAAACATCATGCAGTTTAAGGTGGGGTCCACGTACCTTTCCCAAGACCTTCAATCAGCCTATTATATATGCAGCAACCAACAAAAAAGAAAAAAGAAACATTATCAACATGGCTACGCCAAATTAAGATCCAGCAGAAACTTACAACGCATAATTTTCTTCGATTATTCGAAAGAAAGAAAAAAAATGTCGAAGCTCAAACTTCTTTCTATAGCAGCACTTTTGTTTCTCTGCCACACATTAGCTGATGACACAGAAGAAACGAAACACCAGCACAAGAAGAAGTCGTACCTAGTTCACATGGACAAGTCCAACATACCTGCAAGTTTCGAAGACGATCACACGAGCTGGTACAGCTCTTCCTTAAAATCAGTGTCGGAATCTGCTGACATAATCTACACCTACAAAAACGTCATCCATGGCTACTCTGTTCGACTAACTGCCGAAGAGGCAAAGTCACTCGAAGATAAACCAGGAGTTTTGTTAATCCAAGAAGACGTAGTATACAAACTCCACACCACCAGATCACCAGAATTCCTTGGAATTCTCAACAGTGACGCATTACTCTTACCCGAGTCCGCCACAACTAGCAACGTGATTATCGGTGTGCTAGACACGGGAGTTTGGCCAGAATCGAGCAGTTTCGATGACAAGGGACTTGAGCCAGTCCCTAGTGGCTGGAAAGGCGAGTGTGAACTAAGCAAAACATTCAATTCGTCGAGCTGCAACCGCAAACTTATTGGGGCGAGGTTTTTCTCCCAAGGTATTTTTTTACTCCCTCCGTCCAATAAATATGCATAGATTATAGCAGCCAACATAGAAAAATCACTAAAATACCCTTGTCACTAATCGTTTCTCAATTAACTAATCAGATTGATAAAGTGCGAAATTGAAATTCAAAACTTACAAATAATCTGGGACGAAAAAAATGTATTGTAGGACAGAGGGAGTATCTACTTTAACTTTTTTTTTTTTTTCTTTTTTTACTTCTCAAGGCTACGAAGCGGCATTCGGGCCGATAGACGAGACTGTAGAATCAAAGTCCCCAAGAGACGACGACGGGCACGGAACACACACGTCCACCACTGCAGGTGGATCGGCCGTGGTCGGAGCGAACCTCTTCGGCTTCGCAGCGGGCACGGCACGCGGCATGGCCAGGCATGCCAGGCTGGCGGCATACAAGGTGTGCTGGCGTGGGGGTTGCATAAGCAGCGACATTCTAGCGGCAATGGAGAAAGCCATCGAAGATGGCGTCGACATTCTCTCTCTATCACTGGGCGGGTCCCTCTCCGATTACTTCAGAGACACAGTAGCAATCGGAGCATTTGCAGCAACTGCAAAGGGCATCCTCGTTTCTTGCTCGGCTGGAAACAGTGGGCCCAGTCCTGAAAGCTTGTCCAATGTTGCACCGTGGATAACGACCGTTGGAGCTGGTACGTTGGATCGTGAATTTCCTTCCACCGTTAGTCTTGGAAACGGGAAAAAATTCGTCGGTGCATCACTTTATAATGGGAAGCCTTTACCTGGCTCCTTAATCCCACTCGTCTATGCTCGCAACGCCAGCAGCGCGTCCAATGGTAACCTCTGCCTGACGGGAAGTTTAATCCCAGAAAAGGTGAAGGGCAAAATTGTCATCTGTGACAGAGGGCTTTCGCCGAGGGCAGAAAAGGGTTTGGTTGTAAGAGAAGCAGGTGGCGTTGGGGTAATTCTTTCGAACACATACACCTATGGAGAAGAGCTCGTCGCCGATGCCCATTTTATACCTTCGGCAGCTGTGGGCCAAACCGCGGGCGACGAAATCAAGAAGTACGTCTCTTCTGATCCTAATCCAACGGCCACGATTGCATCTGGTGGGACCCAGTTAGGCGTCCAACCATCACCTGTTGTGGCATCATTCAGTTCGAGAGGTCCGAACACAATCACACCGGAAATACTCAAGCCGGACTTAATAGCACCAGGCGTTAATATACTCGCCGCTTGGACGGGAAACGTGGGTCCCACAGGATTGCCTGAAGACACACGGCGAGTGGACTTCAACATAATATCTGGAACTTCTATGTCATGCCCACATGTCAGTGGACTAGCAGCCCTCGTTAAGGCTGCCCACCCAGAATGGAGCCCTGCGGCTATAAGATCAGCACTGATGACAACAGCTTACAGTAGATACAAGAACGGGAAGACGATTCAAGATCTCGCAACTGGGAATCCATCTACACCGTTCTGTTATGGCGCTGGACATGTGGACCCCGTTTCTGCGCTAGACCCCGGTCTAGTGTACGATGCAAGCGTAGACAACTATGTAGACTTTCTATGTGCAATAAAATACAGTTCGAGCATGATCAAGATTTTGACAAAGCAAGACTATACCTGCAAGGCGGATAAGGAGTACAGCGTGGCGAACCTTAACTACCCGTCTTTTGCTGTCCCCTTTCAGACAGCTTCAGGTCCGAACGGTGGGAGTACTAATGCATCCACTGTGGTCAAACATACGAGGACTTTAAAGAATGTGGGCAGTCCAGCGAGTTATAAGGCTTCAGTCTCTCAAGAGAGTGATGCAGTCAAGATAGCGGTTGTGCCTGAAGTGCTTGACTTCGGCAGTTCAAATGAGGAGAAGAGTTACACTGTGACGTTCACTGCAAGTTCAATGCCCTCAGGCACAACCAGCTTTGCTCATTTGGAATGGTCGGACGGAAAGCATGTTGTTGGTAGTCCAATTGTAATTAGTTGGACATAAGAAATACGGTAGTAGAGTAATCCTCCTAAACTCTACTGAATGCACATACTACCCCTATAAATGTATTGCCACTTGAATCAGAATTGACATCAATAACCTAAAGAAAGACATTTTATACTACTACCTGTGAGGAGTCGGCATTCTTCCTGCATTTCTTGATTAATTAGTGATCTTCTTCCGTTTACATTTTTTTATGTAACAGAATTTGATGGATAATATTCCTGAATCAATCGAAATCCGAAAAACTGGGATGAAGACAATAATTTCCAACCGAAATAGTATGGAAAATTAATTAAAATTTCAGTCAGCCTGTAGAGTGCAAACCAGCACCCACGCCAACTAACTCGAATCACAAGCTTGATAAGGCAAATGAAGATGTACACGTAAACAAAGAGGTATATCAGAGATTGGTAGGAAGCTCATATGTCTTCATACCAGGCCAACATTGCATATGTTGCAAGTGTGGTAAGTAAGTTTACGTCAAACAGGATGTTGTGTTGTCTAAAGAGAAATTCCCTGTATGGCATTCTATTCAAGAGATATTCTGTATTATTTATTGAAATCATCTACACAGACGCAAATTATGCAGGTTCACTTATCAGCAGCAGACCTACTCCGGGCAAATGCACTTTCTTGGAAGGTAATATCATGACTTGAGTCTTGAGGAAGTATGAAGCAAAATATATCAAGTTTGAAGGTGGAATTTATGGTGACGACTTTGAGAATAGTATGTGAGTTACTATGCATCAAAATAATACAAGATCTAAGGAGATGCAGTGGGAAGTATTCTCCAAAAAAAAAAAAAACAGAAAAAAGTGTAGGCAGACACTCTACAAAAAAGACGAGATAGTGGAGTAATTTGCACACAACGTCTGAACAAAAGGTCAACATGCTGATGTACTTTAAGAGGGTTTTGTTACTAAAACATTCAAAGGATTATTTCCATGTTGGAACAAAAGATGCATATTCTCCAGCTCGAGGAGAAATGTCTGAAAATATAGGAAATCAGCATATATACTGTTGATTTCCAGATAATATGTTCCCTACTTTAAGGAGATATGTTTGTTTCCATTACTTCTTGTAAACTCTTGTACAGAAGGTCATGTTTAGGCTCGACTAAAACATAATTTTTGCTCTTCTCAAAATATAAATGACCACCATATCTTACAGTAAGCAAAAGAAAATCCGACAAAGCATTACGAAGCATAATTTGATAAATATTAAGCAGCAAGAGAAAGAAGAAAGAAAAGATATTTGTTATTGCCAGCTCGGGCTATTTCGAGTAGAGTTAAGGTCTACAAGACATTTCAATCCATTCATAATCCAAAAGGCATGACAGAATGTAACCTAATCATCATTCAGTATCGTCTATAGGCTGACAAACAGGGAGGTAATAAGTATCCAACTGCCAGTACTTATGTTTCACACCCTCCCAGGTTTCTTTTCCTAAACAATCCTTCACAGGTAAAGGTATCAACTGTGTGGAGTAACCCAAAGTCTCAAGTTCCAGAGAAACTAACTGACAATAAACAACATGGAAGAAGGGATTACTACCGCAAAGACCGTTGAAGAAAGAATATATTCCTCCAGGCTTCAGCAATTTCGGGAGATGTTGATGAAAGTCTCTCATATCTTCGTAATATTCCCCATATGTGTCAAAGAATATCCCTGAAAATTTTGAACAAATCAAATAATCATCACCAGAAAAATCAGTATTTCAGAAAGCAAAGGATGATGTAAATATGAAAGAGATAACTACCCGTTAAACAGCCCTAGAGAAATGTATCTGATTTCAACTCCACCTAATGCCCAAGTCCAAGTTAGATGCAAGCTTTTCTAGATTATTATATGTTAGCAACAAGATTAATTACCGAAAACTCCATGAGGTTTGCCAAATATACAAAGACCTACCCTATTATAAAAAAAGTTTGTCCAATATACAAAGAGAGCCTTATAGTTTTTTTTTTTTTCTTTTCTTTTTTTTTTTTTTTTTGTCAAAGAGAGCCTTATAGGTAACAAAAAAGAAGTACAGAGAACATAATATTTGGGTCAACGACTTCTCTATTTATTTCCTTATCTCTTCATACACATTGACGATGTATGGTATTGGTAATACCAAGTGAAGACCAATCTTCGGGTTCGATTTGGGTGCTAGACAAACCACTACAACTACAACTATATATAAAAAAATTTAATCTATTTATTATTTTTAGTGTAAAGAATATAAACATTCTGGTTTTAGTTTATGGAATAAACAATAAATATTTATGATATAACATACAAAATGCTGTAAAGTAATAATCGCGCTTAATTGTCTTTAGTTAACGCATTGTTGTTAAAAATATTGTAAATCTATTCACGAATAACATATTATTGTTGCTGTATTAGAAAATTATGAGATCAGTGTATACTTCTAGAATAGTAAAAGTACCACTATAATATTCCGAATTATACATTTTACATACTATACACTAGACCAATTTCAATAGCTTATCATAAGTAGCAAACAAGAAACCTGAAGAGAGAACTTTAAATATTAGACAATTCTCAAAGAAACAATATCTATAGAAATCTTAGGGGGGGTGCTGTCATGCACACAAACAATAATGGTAACAGTAAAATCCGATCGTAGATGAGTTATGGCATCATAACAGAAGGAAGACTTGTAAATTGATATTAAATCTCAAAAAATAAAAAAGTGATTGCGCATACTAAAAGAATGTCAAATGTCACGCATAGCAAACGTATTTTTTTCAGCGTCAGTTATGAGAAAATTAATTTTTACGTGCATAATTCTTACCATCATATGATTCCAGTTGAGGAAGAACATCCTGCCAGCGACCAAATATTATCTTCACATTCTCCTTTTCACCCCATCCATTCTGAAGCATACGAGCATATACCTCAGGGTGAGCTTCGACTATAGTGTGCGAAGTTGGCTTGTATTTCTGTATGGCAGTGTCCACAAGACCCATGCCAAACCCAATGTTTAGCACGTGCCCACCTCCTGAGCAAATAGCTTTTGCATGAGCTTCCATTAGTGGACCCTCCCAAGCCATCATAACAGCTTTGCTTTCTTTGTCCATCACCTTATCCTCACTGAATGTAACCCTGTCTTCCAAATAGTCCTCGTTAGGATTACCATGTGCATTATCTTTCCTTGCTATTGTTCCAAGAACCAATTCAGCCTGTATGCCTGTAAATAACCGAAAACTTCGCCATCAATTAAACGAAAAATGCAGAAAAAGGCCACAAATTTAGGAAATTGCATCAATTTGTTAGGTAAACATGACTGGTGAACATATGAGACAATAGGGTGCGGTCACAGAACATGTAACACGTCCCACATGCAGTTCAGCAAAATATAGTTTCCATTTTTATTCTTATATCTTTTGTAACTCTTCATTACACACTTACTATATGCTACATAAATTATGTACCGAACATGAGCTTGTTCCAATTTTACTATGAAAAGGGTTTAGGCTCCTCATATATGTTCATATTTCAAATAAATCCTAATATGAAGAAACAACCCCAAAAACATCCTTGCTTTTCGAAACCCTGCTCAACGTTACTTTCCCAAAGGTAAAGGCTTTACATATTCTGCTGACAGAGCACCTTGGCTAACAGAGGAGGAGCTTGACTATTACATCACCAAATTCGAAAAAAACTGGTTTCACCGGAGCAATTAATGATTACCGCGCCTTTGGCTTGTAAGTATTCCCAATAATGGCATATTTGAAATTCATCATTCTTGATTGAGATATCTAATATTTGAAATTCCTTCTACTTTTTGTTAAAAAAGATGCAGAAGCTGGGAACTGAATGCACCATGGGCTGGAGCTCAAGTAAACGTACCGACAAAGTTTATCGTATGGGAATTGGATCAGGTAAACGTCAGTCCTATAACCATATCTTTTTCCTAAATCGAGACCAACTCCCAACATTCTACAATCCGTTTACAAATCGATAAGTCCCTGAAAACTAGGTCTCTTTCAATTGAAGGAGGAACATAGTTCAATTTCTTACTTTGTTGATTTTGCAATCCAGAAATGTGTTCATCCAACATTTACCAAATCCAACAAAAATCAAATAACAAAAGAATGTAAATTAAAAAGGGGGAAAACGAAATGAAAAAACGGACCAGCATTAAGAAGGATGTCGAAGGCGGATTGATGGCCATTGTCCATGGCAAAGTCTCCGGCGGAGAGATTGGAAGGAGATACGGCGTTCCACGGCGCACCACTGTCGAGGAGTGCTCTCACCACCTCCGAGTGGCCGTTTTTGGCGGCGTGCATCAGCGGCGTTTGTCCGTCGCTATCGAAGTAGGTGACGTCGGCTCCGGATGTGATTAGGGATTGTACTTTAGCAACATCGCCGTTTCGAGATGCCTCGCAGAGTGATTCCTCTTTGTTATCTTCCATGGCTGCACCTGGTTTTACCTTAAACCCTCTAACGGCAGTTTCAGGAAGAGGGTTTTGCTACTTGGATTAGGCTCTGTTTGGGGATTTTTCAACACTTCTGCTAATATATATACCACTAAGGTGGTGTTTGCAAATGCTTTTTAAGAGTGATTATGCGGTTTTTTTGCTTATAATCTGTTTTTAGGTGTTTGCAAAATCAACTTTTGCTTTTGCTTCTCTTAAAATAATCTGCTTTAAGCTATTTTTTTAAAAGCACCCCTAACCCTGCTTTTTCAATTTTAGTTCATTTTCCGAAATATTTGCAAACACCCCCAACTTTTAGAAATAAGCACTTAAAACTAACTTAAATCACAATCACTAACTTCTACTTTTAAATAATCATTTGCAAACACCACCTAACTCAAATTATAATATTATAAGCTGGGATGCATTATTTTTTGGAAATTTAACAAAAATATATTATTATATTTTCCGAATTTCGTTCAAAAAAATAAAATTAGATAAAAAAAAAAATCGGAATTTCAGAAACTAAAATGACAAAACTTATTCCAAAATTGAAAAAAATTTAATGTGAATCGGCGCAATTCGGATATTTTTCTATTTTTTTTAGTCACCTATAACATAAAATTTTATTGATATTATAAATGGAAATTTCAGAAAATAATCAATCTTTTTTTTTTGAAAGAAAATTGGATCGACAATCGAAAGTTTTGGAATGTGGTGAAAATAATGTTCCAAAATGGAAATTCTCGTATCGTAATAATTTTCAAGCTGTCAATTTTATTTCACCGAGAATAATAATTTTTAAACATTAATAAAAAAATAAAAATAAAAGGTAAAGTAGAAAATATATCTTTCAAAACTCTTTATACAAATAATAATTTTTTTTGGTCACTCCAGCAATGTACGACGATAGATTTGAATTAAAATTTAATTTTCATCGTCGTACGTAACATATATAAATGATAGTTTCAAACCACCTAAAACTCTGAAAGCTTCAGCCTCTATATCGGCCCTGGAATTTTTGCAAGGGAATGTAGAGAGTAGTATACACGAGTCTATGCTAAAATAAAATATGTACGAAAAAAATAAGTAACAACACTAGTCAATCTTTGAAAGATCGCCAATCCGACTGCTTTATTCAGGCAATCTGACCAATGTGATGCTGGAGCAACATTGTTCTAAAAAACTAGGATGTATGCAGGGGCAGACCCAAGGCTTCTGTTGGGGGGGCACCCGCCCCAGCAGAAAAAAAAAATTTACCTTTTTTTTTTTTTTTTTTTTAATATTTTGGCTTATTTATGTATTAATTTATACACTTTAGTCCCCCAAAGTTAAAATTTTATACCATTTAACCCCAAAACTTTTTTTTCGCCCCCCACCCAAAACCCCCTGGGTCCGCCCCTGGATGTATGGTCATTGTACCCTTAAACTAGTCAAGTTGTAGGCGACATTAATCAAACTCTTTTAAGTGTTCCCCTTATTAGTACGACAGTTTTGTACTGAAGAAGCTTTACTAGTACGTACAATTCCAAAATTGTGGAAACTTTGGAAATCATATAAAATTTTAAAAATAAGAACATCCACTTACATAAAATCATAAAACTAAAACTACTAAGATTATAATTTTTAAAATTTAAAAAGTAACTGTAACGATTCCAATTGCACTAAGCACCTATTTTCAAATACCACAATATAATTATAAACCCTCGAAATGAAAAGGTCGAAACTAGGGAAACAAGCTAGACTTTTTTTTTTTTTTTTATGTGACAAATAGCAACGGAAATAATTTGACTCTCCAACATGACTCATAAGCTAAAAATATGATAAAATATTTTATTTATTTCACACTAAATGGGATTGGAAATTGAAAATTTCAAATATTTTTTATATAATTCCAATTTCAATTCCAAAAAAAAAAAATCGGAAATCAAAAGTTCGAAAAATGAAATGAAAAAGGTTGTTTCAAATTCGGAACTATTCGAACCGAAAACCGACGGAAATTTAAAATGTCGTGTTTGTGAAAAAGTATTTTCAGTGGACATGATGAAAACTAATACCATGTAAAACCTTACACAAATAGTGGATACATAATTGTATGTATTGCATTCACTTCTCGTCAATTGTAAGAACGAATTACATTATTTCGAATTTACCTCAGAGAAAGACGATCAAACAATTCCCCTAAAAATATATCACAAATTACATCATCTAAGTATCCTCACAAAGTCAAAACTAATCTTTAAAATGTTCAGTTTGAATATTCAACAAGTACTAATCAGAATAATAATAATAATAAATAATTTTATATTAATTGTTATTAATTCATGAAACTACAATAAAATTACAAAAAAATTAAAAAATTGCCAAAACACTTTGTAATAAAATACTCACAGTGACAAGGAAGCTTCTCTTGTTTTGTCACACAGCCAAATCAAGAAAGGTCAACAATTTGAATTTACCCATATATATTATATTATTATAATAATAATAAAATATCATTTCAAAATGCACACTTATTTTGACCGCTCACCAGTCACCACATTCTAAAGCCAGACAACAAGAACCGAAAACGACACCGTTTTACCTTCAGATAATAAAACTCCTCTTTTCCCGCAGATGCAGAATTGATCTTCCCTGATACCAAATCCAGAAAAAAAATCCACCATTTTTTACCCAGCTGTGTTTCCTTTTTCATTCCTTACAGCAATTTCAATTTATTGAATGTTTCGATCCATTTAATTTATTGACCATGATGGATTGATCGGCGCTATCTAGGGTTTTGTTTTTTCTGATTTTCTTCCATTTTCGGTGCCCGACATCGTGATTTTTCACCTCTAATTTGTGTAATTAATTCTAAGGGAAGGAAAAATGACTTCAGCTTTTGATAGATGGGAAAAAGATCCGTTTTTTTCTGCTGCGGAGGAAGTCCAGGAATCTGCCGACAGGTGCTATAAATAATTTCACGTTTTTTATTTTTTTTTTCCTCATAGATTTTCTCGAATCAAATATATTGAGAATGCAGAGTAATTAATTTTTTTTTAATTGTCTACTTTTTTAATTTTGGAATTATTGAGGGAATTTATTTAATTTGTTTGTAAAGGATGGAATCGACTTATAGAACATGGCTTCATGCATCGAAGGATGCCGCCAGCGCTTGGAATATGGAGGAGCTACGAAGAGATCTCCAAACGACACTCGGCACCGCCAAGTGGCAGGTTGTTCGTCTATACGTACTTATGCGATACCGCTATTTTTATAAGCACACATTTGGCGTTATTCATGAAATAATAATTGTGGATGCAGTTGGAAGAATTCGGTCGGGCCGTGAGATCGAGTTACAGTACTAGTACTACTGCGGTCGACGATTCAAAAGATAGGCATAGGGATTTCATAGTTGCAATCGAGAATCAAATAGCGAAAGTCGAGAGATCCTTGAACGAATCCGCAGTATCGCGAGGCAAGCCGCCATTGCCTTGGGTGAGATTAGACGAAGGAGAGAGAAACGAGCTAGCGTTGTTTCTTTCGGGGCCGTCTTCCGTAAATAGAAACTTAGGAGTGAATAATAATAACAACTCAGAAGAGGCTGACCGGTTAACTCTAAACGAGTGTTCGAGGAGTTCTTCTCATTTGGTTGAGTTAGGTGAAGTGGAGTGTAAAGAGGAGAAGTTTCCGCTGCCAGGTCATCGTAGGACAGCTAGCGCAGGTGCCGATATTGGCTCGTGGAAAATAATGCTGCCTTTTGATATTCTGCCGCACGATTCGTCATGTGTAAATACCGATAAGCCCCCGCGAAAGGTACCTAGTTTTTCGGGGTTTTTAAATACGATGGAATCTTCCATGGCTCAGTTGAAGTGGCCGAAGAATGGTTACAAGAAATTAAAGGTTACCGACCGGCCAAAAGAAGCTGATACTATTTTACCCCGGGCTCCGAATTTGACTAGAGTTAGTAAATCTATTCTTTCTTGATTGTTTTAATTTCTAGTTAGTTGTGTTTTTTGTGCTGATCGTGATGAAATGCACACGTTATATTTATGAAGGGCGTTGAAATATGCTATGAGAAGAATAAAAGTTGCCTTGATGGTTGTGATGATTACGACAAGCATTTGTACGGTTGGTATGGAACGATCCAGAGGCAGCTTCAGAGGTCGCAGTATCATATGCAATATAGTCGGCCTGTTCAAGTCGTTTTCTCCATTATTCTCCTGCTTTGCTTGCTCGGTGAGCCTTTTAACTAGCTTTTTTTTTTTTTTTTTTTTTTTTTCCTTTTTTTTTCCTTTTTTTTAATTATAATGATGATTATTGTTCACCTGATTCTCGGGCATTTATATATATATCGAATATGCACTAGATGTATATGTTTTAGGATCTTTCTCCATAACCTTTGGTCTCGGTTTGCGTCGATCAAGTGTATTTGTTTTGTTAGATTATATTCGAAACTTGACATATTGAAGGTTCAAAGTAGTTTTGTCAAATATTTTGCCGGATATGTTACGTCATAATAACAACTAACATAGGGCAAATTACGGCCACCCCGTGAGTTATGGCCAAATTACGAAAAAATCCCTCTTGTTTGGGTAATTACAACCACCCCCTCCTTTTAAATATTTTTACATAAAATTTATGTAATTGGGTTATTTACCGAACCAAATCGTATATTCAGTTCGGTAAACGGTATGAAATGTTGGTGTACTGAAATTTCGGTTTGATTTTACCGATTTAACATCCCTAAATTTACCGCTGGAGGGGTTTTTTCGTAAGATAATACATAGTTGAGGGTGGTGGCTGTAATTACCCAAACAGGAGGGGGTTTTCGTAATTGACCATAACTCATAACTCAGTGGTGGCCGTAATTTACCCTAACAACTAAATGATGAGCTCTTTGGTATTAACTGCAGTATCAGTCGTGCTATCTGCTTTACTCTACTGTATATATTTGATGATGGAACTGTTGCTACATGTATCTTAGTCTTTACCAGGAAACTTTTTTACGTTGTTCGTTTTTGTGTTTTCTCAGTTTTTATGCAAATGGTTTTAATTTATTTGACATATTTATATGGAGTGTGCCACTGGGGCAATATTGAGCCGTTTGTAACACGGTATTGGTAGCAAGCAGCTTTATAATATTGTTCGGGAAGATAATTATCCCGATTAGTTATCGACTTCAATCGTCACTAAAAATCTCGAAACATTGATTAAATATCCACAAGACATACCCTGCATTAAATGTTTAAAAAATTAGAATAGCTCTTTACAAAACCCCCCACACGAGTTTTATTCTACATATTTTATGTTGCTTACTTTGTTCCGTGAAACACTTACGTTAATTTCGATTTGGTTTTACTTTCGTATCTGAAATTAATTATCGCAAAGACTACGAGCTTGAAGTTTCTTCAATTCCTCGAATGCTTACGTATTATAATGTTGTTTCCCCTGCAGTTTTATTGGTTTTTCGTGCAATCTGAGGGGAGCGTGTTCTTTATTCCGATTCGGCAACTTGTGAAATGAAATGGAGTAGGAAAAGTTGCTCGATTATTATTCTTTATGTAGGAATTTATTCCGTCTTTATAGAAATGATTTTGTCTAGTGGTAGCTGACAAGGTTTATCGTACTACTGCCTTTTTGAGCTGCCGTTGTACCATGCTGTTGTAATTTTATTTTATTTTGGTAGTTTTGATCTTCTTTTGTAGTGGCTTCTTCGACTCTAGAGATTTATTTTCGCTCATTGCCCGTTTTTGTTGTCTTGTTGACTTTATGTATGGATCACAAAAATTGTATATGTATATTGATGTACAATAGCTAGATACCGATATGTTTGATGATCTAGAATACGTCGAGTGTATATTAACCTTGTGCAAATTTCACAATCCCGACTCAGCAATTTCGTATCTTGTTTTCGTGGATTATTTACATCTAATAGGTTTTGGGATTCATTTTTTTTCACTGATAAAGATCAAGAACACGACAACAATCTACACAGGAATTTCGATGTACAATCTGAATTAGCAAAATCCCCTCAAGCATATAAGGCATTCGACGGAATATCAACTGCTAAATAAAAAACGAAAGAACAAATTTGAATTCAATTGAAAATTCTAGAGTGTGCAGTTACCGCTTGTACATTTTGATCGAAAAAGAAAGGCTTCGGTTGATCTTAGCGCATATACAGCAAACACTTGTATTTCTTTAACCATTTTTCATCACTCGACAAAGTACGATCAATATTGAAATTCAGTTAGAAGCATTAGCTTTCTGCGTGTTTTTCAACAAGTTTGTCGAATCTTTTTCTACATTAGATTTACTCGCGAATTCAACACCTTGGAAAGTTGCTCCAGAACCGTGATACTGACTTCCGTATGCTGAGCCAAATCCCCATCCTAGCCCTAAACCAACACCACAACCCCCACCTTCACATTGACGAAAAATAAAATAAAATAAAAACTGCGTTAGCGTAAAAGATTAGTCGAATCAAAGGTGGTGTAGTTTACCAAAAAAAAAAAAGCGGTTTTCGGTTTTCTCGAGATTTTACCTGCACCAAGTCCAAAGATGTTCAGGGGCATACCTGGACGAAAACGATTGCCATATGTTACAAAAAAAAGAAAATTGCTTAGAAAAATGAAAAAAGAAAAAAATCATCGAGCAATTATAACCAATACAAAAACGAAATTGTTGACAGCTAAAAAATCTCGTGTAAAAACGATAAGAGAGCATAGTAGGCTTCACAGTTTTAGACGCTAAACTAATTCGACACGTTTTAATATTCCCATTAATAGATTCAAAACAGGAACGAGTCGATTCTGTGAGAAGGATCATTCTAGTCTTTCTATCGAGATAACACAAGTCGATTCTTAGTAAGTCGGCAAACCAATTCATCGACTACTTGATGTTGACCGTTGATCATTTGAATCTAGAAGAAGTACGACAAAACGCAGACTTACGATTTTTCTTATTTATTTTCAGTCTTTGAAGTGAGAAACACACATAATTTGTCATTGCAGCTACAAAAAACTCTGAAATTCAGAGGTTCTCACTTTAAGTACAAATATTTTATCGTTCGACGGAATCGACGACATTTGCAATTTGATAAATACGATGAAGGATGACTGCAATTGCACTTCAATTAGCTAAATACAATTTGAAATGACAATTAACATAATTTTATTTATTTTTAATTTTTGTGCTTACAAAAATTGTACAGAAAATAAAAATAAAAAAAAGAAAGAATCATAGTGAAGTTACCTCCGAAGCCCCATCCAACTCCAAAACCACAGCCAACTCCGAAACCTTAAAAAACCCAATTCATAATTCAATTTCAAAGGAACAAAAAAAAAAAAAAAACCCATAAAATTATCAGGAAAGAAAACCCAGATATAAAAAATTTAAAAAATTAAAAGAAAATTGTGTTGAATTAGAAATAAAAGAGTTACCAAAGCCCACTCCTGCTCCATTAAAATTTGTTATCACCATAGATCTTCGCTATTGTGACGGTGAATTCAAGAAAAGGAAGTGTTTATTCCAGTGCAGTGCATATTGATGATATGAATAGAAAATTCGACCCGATTAGAAAAACGGGTTCAAGGCTTTGGTGAGAATTGGTCCGATAATAGGCCCAACCTAATTCATCACTCCATGTTGCACAAATTTCAATGGTAAATTACGGTACCGTTCGGTGGTGTCAAATTACGAAAAAAAAAAAATTCTCATATTTTGATAACTACAAAAAGACTATGAATCTTTTTACACGTCAATTTTTATGGTGTCAAATTTAGTAAATATTCCCAGTTTGCACCTGTTATTTTAGGGGGGAATTGTATAGACACCCCTTCTTCCAAACTTATATAGGTAGAGATCCAAGTTATTAGATGAATATATTTGTAGGTCATTTAACTAAAAAAAAAATAATAGAAATCAAATAAAATTAAAAGTATATAGACATAAATAACCTCAAATTATAAATCGCTTTATATGGAAAACAAACCCCTCTACCCAACGACGTGATTACACCTCTCTCTCTCTCTCTCTCTCTCTCTCTCTCTCTCTCTCTCTCTCTCTAATCGACTGGCCACTGTACACGCACCTCCGATGTGCGCGCTGCAAACTTTGCTGTTGATAATGCTACCCACTGCACCGTTGCAAGTCGTTTGTCCTCCATTGTCGTCGTTCTTTAACAGCGCCTGTCTTCGACGAGTCTCTCTAATCGGTTGGCCACTGTGCACGCTTCTCCGATACGTGCGCTGCAAACTTCACTGCTGATGGTGCTACCCACTGCACCGTTGCAAGTCGTTTGTCCTCCGTTGTCGTCGTTCTTTAAGGTCGCCCTGTCTCCGATGAGAGAGTGGTAGAAGAAGAATTTTAAAAAATTAACAAGTTATACTTGTATTTTGTATTTGTTGGCTGTTTGTTTAATGTGTTTGATTGTTGGTTATTATTTGTTGTTTGTTGAAAGAAATTTTATGTTTGACATTCATATTTTCAAATTCGTTTATTGTTAACTGTAAAATTGTTTGCATTTGAATTCATTTCAGCAAACAACAAACGAATGCGATTGATTTTAGCTAATACAACAACAATTATTATTTTTATATGAGGGGAGTAAAGTTTTTTTTTTTTTTTTCTTTTTTTTTTTTTTCATTTTGCTGTTGTATTTAAATATCGGACATGGGACAATCAGTTCAGAGATGAGGAGATGAATTTATGATTTTTTTGTTGTAAAATTCTCCATAAATTTATTCGTTTGTTAGGTATGAGTGCAGTTGATGACGATATTTATGTTGCCCTCTCGAATCTAAATCGCATTGCGGTGAGCAAAAAGTAAAGAGGATATCGGTTATGGTGAAGATATAAACGAAAATATGTCGCAATTAATGTAATGAATTTTGTGAGCATAATAGATAGTCATGCACGAATTGATGTAATTTGTATAACTTAAAGAGATGTTTTTGCTTATTTCATTTCAGACATTACATTGGTTTTTCTAATCGACCGATGTGTTGATTTTATATTGATGCTTGCACTTCAAATCTATAGTTTTATATTTTCGTAATTGATTGGTTTGTTTATTTTCAATGTAGTATTTGTCTTTTACAAATGGGAACATATAACTGTCAAACGCAAACAACAACTCACATTAAAATGTGTAAATGTGGTAAAAGAATGTTGTAAAATGAAGTAGCGAACAATAAACATCAATTTGCAACCATTAAGTATCTATTTGAAATATGTAATTGCAATTGTAAAACTATGTTGCAGAATGCAATAGCAAAATTTTTTGTGACCCGTTGTACATATATCCAGTGAACTGCAAGCTATCATAAAATAGCATACTGCAAATTGTAAACAATAAACAACATTTTACAGTAAATATAGCCAGAAAACTACAATATGCAGTATAATTACAACAAAAAATGTTACTTATTGCCAAACCAACATTGCATAATCTAAAATTGCAGAATCCCTTTTACAAATTCAAAATCCAAATTACTCCCTAGCGTTTAACGTTATAATAAACTAGCGATCAGTAAACGTATATTTCATCTAGTAACAAAGAAATAAGGTGAATACAAAGAAGTACTTCAAGTCACATAAAGGTAGGCTTGATGTGTGCAAATCAAACATGGTTGTGCATCATTCTGCACTAATGGTTGTCATAAGCAATATTGTCGAAACTAGCTGATACTTAAATAGCGACCATATTCACTTCGTCATTTGCACCTTCTAAGCTGAAATTTTTCATGTCTCCACATCAACAAAAAAATGATCTTCTTTTTCTTTCTACTAGAAATGAAAATACGAGAATGTTACTCACTAAAGCCTTCACGCTTTTGTACCATTTTTTCTGGATAACGAGGTTCTCTGATGATGCAATTACGAGGTAATGTATAAATCCAAAGGCAAAACGTAGATACAAAACGTTTAATTATTATCGAAATATTTGAAATAAATAACAAACAATAAAATACAAAATAAAAAAGGAACAAAATTCAAAATTAATAAAAGATAAAAGTTAAAATCGAAAACATAACATGCAAAGAAAATTTACACAAATGATCATTGCTTACCAAGACTTAATCGTGTTTTGGGCATCGTACGAATTCCAAACAGCAACCCTAAACATCAGCCATCGTTTACGAACACTAGTAGAAAACCGGCCACAGGCGACGAAATCTTGCGACGAAACTAGGACTCTTGCGACGAAATTAGGACTAATGCGACGATTTATATTTCGTCGCAGTTGGGGTCCAGATTCGTCGCCAATCAACCCGTCGCAAAGGCTGCGACGAATTCTATATTTCGACGCTACTAGGGCGACGAAAACCCTTTTCGTCGCAAAAAGTCAATTTTATAAAATAAATTAGATTTTTGTTTTTGCGACGTTTATATCTCCACTATCGTCGCTGCTGTCTGCGACGGTTTGTTGTTTTCGTCGCAAAAAACAAATTTAAAAAAAATAAAATAATATTAGTTGGCGACGAAATATATATATCGTCGCAACGTATTGCCTCGATATTTCTTTGTTCGTCGCCAATGTTTGCGACGAATGCTAACTATTAGTCGCAAGATTTAGTTCTACCAAAACAAGATTTGCGACGGAACATAGTACATCGACGTATTTCATTTGCGACGAAAATGATTATATTCGTCGCAAATGTTACTGTACAGTTTTATATACATATATATATTATATATTATTTTATATATATAATAAATTACCTGTAAATAATTATTAATTTCACTAAAACAATTAAACTACTAAATTAAATTACATAGCAAAATTAAAGTCGAAGTCTACATAAAATTAAAAACCAAGTCAACAGTACATATACAAATCTAGAATTACATAAAAACTTAGAAAAATATTGTAGCATTACAAAATGAAATTAATCCGAATTGAGTCGTTCTTCGTCGTCATTTGAAGTACCCGAAATTGGAGTTTTGGAGACGGGCTGATCGACAATTCCTTTTTGTCTTAAAGTATTAAGTAATGAGTTCAAAGATTCTTTAAGTGAGCTCACCTCATCTCGCGATTCTTGCAATTCTCCTTCTAAGAGCTCGACTTTAGTCTCCAACTCTTCATTTCTAACAGAAGAAAATCTTGATCTTGCAACTTTCTTAGTGGTTGAGCTTTGAATCCCAAGTACTTTTGTCTTACCCAACACTCTTTCACAAGCTATTGAGTCGGCCGTACTTTGATCTTTTCCATCATTAATACACTCTTCGTATACTCTTTCCAAGTCTTCCTGAAAATACAAATAAATAACCATAAATTCATAAATTAAACAAAAAATTGGGCAGCATAACATCTATTGTATGGACATACCAAAAAAATATCAATACATAGAAAACACATCAACAAATTCAACATATATACCAACCAATAGATCAAACACAATTTAACATATCTACCAAACAATAGATCAAACACACAATACCAAAACAAAAAACCCACCAACTAATTCAACATACAAAACAATTAAGGATGAAAACTTACCGCAATAGCACGTTGTTCAGGAGTTCCAATCCCAGTATATGGTTCTGCCCTCTCACCCTCCTCCGTGGATGACCCGGATTCCACGAATGGCATCAATGGGTCAATACGCATATAGCCTTTTTTATATTTATCAACCACGGTAGGAGCTTTACCAAATTTTTGAAGCTGTAATAAAAATTTATAAACAAAATTAATATAAAATATACATGAATATAATACGAAAAATTTAACAAAAAAATATATAAGACTAGACTTACATGTTCATGAGACCACCCACTAATACTAGTTCGACCCCAATGGTGGTCGGTAGGGATTTTCATTCGGGATTCTCGGCATTTATCAGACTTGGACTGTGAATATACACATGTTAATAAACTTCGATTAAATTTATTTGAACATGACAAATTAGAAAAAAAAATCAAAAGAAATATAATTTACCTTTCCATCACCACTGGAATCAGATATAGAAAAAAATTGATCACACAATTCCTCCCATGTAGATGAACTAATCAATCCCTCCGGACGATTTGCCTTAGCAGTGGCAAGATCTGGTGCTCTATCATAAAATTTTTTCAACACTTTAGTTCTATGATCTTTCCAACGAGCATTGGCCGTAGCATTGAACCATTTCTTCGTAGCATCTCGATCAGGAAGTTTCCATTTGTCCTAACAAGAATAAAAAAAATTCATATACAACAAATCAATTTAACTAACTAAGAATTATTATTAAATTTTTAATAATTTCAAATACCTTGAATCGTAACCACAATTGCTCAACCCGACCGTCTTTTTTGTGCTTAGGCCAAGAAATGCAAGGACTAAAAAGGTCACAATGTGTAACTTGACTAGCAATGGCCCGCACCAATCGGTTCCTCCCACGCCCGACTGGAAGACCTGCATCGTTAAAGTCCACGTGTACTACTACATCATAATCTGTGCTCGAACCTTGCCCTGTGCTCGAACCTTGCCCTGTGCTCGAACCTTGCCCTGACATAAAAAATACACAAATCGGGTAAAGGTGAGGGAAAGGATAATTTCTTACTCGAGAAAGTCTAAATGTACAAAACTTGCGCTTCCCTTTCCAGCTATACTTGATTAGCTGTATTCATTTCTTCAAAGCAATGAGTGCCTTCAATCAACAAGTCAACAAAGTTAAGAGAGTTTTTTATAAGTGCATTATCAAATAAAGATTCAAACGAAAAGATCAGCGTAGTCATCATTAAGTTCTCAAGACGGCTAAAAGAAAAATGAATGAATATTAAACCAAATTTAATTCACCGTACGACCGCTTCTTCAATTAACAAATACACCCCCAAATACACCCCAAAATCAGCAAATACACCCCCAAATACACCCCAAAATAAGCAAATACACCCCCAAATACACCCCCAAATCAGCAAATACACCCCCAAATACACCTCAAAATCAGCAAATACATCCCCAAATACACCCCAAAATCAGCACACACATACACACTAAATCAACACATACACACTAAATCAACCCATATACTATTACACCACACTTGGATATAAACAAAATTTAAACAATCTATAAATTAAAATTTTTGTTCCAGCAAATAATTAGCTATATTTAATTATTTTTAATCATTTGAAGAAACATAAAAATGGGCCAAAATTGGTGGACAAATTCAAACGGGTTATTGAACCCTTAAAGGACAATAAAATGTAAATATTTTAATTTGGTGCAGCGGCGGCGGAAGACCGTTGTGGTGGCGGACTGAGCCGGCCACCACCGTGTGAAGAATAAGATGACTTGCAATTTGTGAAGAGTAAAGGCATGTTTATTGCAAAAAATTAAAGGCACTCACTACGAGGGGAGAGGTCGGCAAGGAAATGTGGCGACGAGGCGGCGGCAAGGCAACGGCAGCAAGGCAACGGCAGAGGGACACCGGAACAGATCCCTAACAGTAGAGAGAGAGAGAGTGAGAAAAAGATGGGGGGGGGGAGAGAGAGAAAAAGAACGGGGGGAGTTTGATGGTGTAGATTACAAATTGAAATTAGGGCAGTTTGGTGGCCGGTGATGGTGGAATGGCGGCGGCAGAACGACGCCGCCACCGGCGACGGTAGAGTCGGAGAGAGAGAGAGAGAGAGAGAGAGAGAGAGAGAATAGAGAGAGAGAGAATGGAGAGTTGGCTGAAACGAATTAGGTTTTTATCCCATTCTCTTATGCGACGAATTAACCAAAATCGACGCGAAAATTAAATAAAATTAAATTTAAATTAATTCATTGCGTCGATTCCATAACAATCGTCGCCAACAAATAATAAAAAAATTAATTCCATTGCGACGTTTATGTATTCGTAGCAACCTGGGCTCGAAAATTTGGGAAAGAGAAAATTCTTGCGACGTTTCAGATACATATTCGTCGCAATATTTATTAAAAATAATAAAAGGAAAATAATTTATTCTAAATGCGACGTTTTCTGAAATCGACGCAACGGAAAAAAAATAAATGCAATTTTGTTGCGACGTTTAGTCACAATTCGTCGCTGAATAACATAATAAATAAAATGAAAATTATTGTAATTGCGACGACGTACATTTCGTCGCAGTGATTGAAGAAAAAAATATTTTTTTTAAACTTATTGCGACGATTCTTCGTATTTCGTCGCTATAATATAATTTAAAAATAAAAAAAAATTACTTTGCGCGACGTTTGTCGCTTTTTCGTCTCAAAAATATGTGGAAATAATTTTTTTTTCTCGTTGCGACGTTTACTAAAAGATTCGACGCAAAAACAGCGACGATATTCCAGTTACGCCGCAAAGGTTTTGAGTCAAAAGCGGGATTTAAACTGTTGCGACTAATGCAGTAGGAATCGTCGCAACTGTGCGACGATTATGATTTAGTCGCAAATTTTAACGTCGCCAGAACTGTGTTTTGGCCTAGTGGAACAACATACAATTGGGAAACAGCAAACGGAACGAAGGCAAACTGGTTCAGCAAAAGAAACTGCAAACGACCTTGTGAATTGCAAACGCTCAGACAACCTAACCTATGGAAGCTTCACAATTTGTGGAGAGATTTTGGTATTGAAGAAAGGGTGAACAAATCGATATCCAAAGATTTGCAATTCTAATTTTCGGATTTGCAGTAATGGGTGGATTTGGTAATTGTTAGGTCAAACGAAAATGAGGAGAAAAATAGGGGATTTGATTTTGAGGATTTATTTTACTATATATTGATAGGGGTACTTTTGACAAATTACAAATAATAAAATCTGCTGGAAATTAGAATTTATTAGATGGATTTTAACACAGATAATCTCTTACAGGAGGACCAAGCATCACACATTTTGGAACAAAATGATCATAAATTGTGTCTCTTGGCTTGTAAGTGATACTAGTAATTATTTTGCTAGAGCTAGCATTCCAAAAGAGAATAAAATACTTATTAAAATATAGGGTAAATTACACCCACATCCCTGAGGTATGCTTTAATAATTTTAAGGTCCCTATAGTATCGATAATTACACTCACCCCCTTGAAACGTAGTTAGAAACTCTAACGGGATAATGCATTGGATACATTATTCTGATAGGGTTCTAATGGACTATTACTTTTAGCTAGTGGTGGAGATAACATAGAGTTATGGAGAGTTATGGGGTGACATGGCTCCCCCAATATTTCTTAAATCACCCATAACTCTTTGTTGTCTCCACCACTTCCTGAAACCAATAGTCCGTTAGAACTCTATCGTAATAACGTATCCAATGCATTATCCCATTAGAGTTTATAACTACGTTTCAAGGGGGTAAGTGTAATTACCGATACCACGGGGACCTTAAAGTTATTTAAGCATACCTCATGGGTGTGGGCGTAATTTACCCTAAAATATATGAAAAAATAAATATAGTAATAACTAATAAGAAATATATAACACTAATCTTGAAATATTTATTTGTGGAATTAGCATTACCTATTAAGATTCTAGTAGATCTTTAATTGATATTTCATAGGTAAAAAAATGGATAATAATCTCTTAAATTAATTAATTACAGATGACATTATGGTTGTGAAAAAATATAGGGGTAATCCGAAAATAAATGTCATAATATATATCACTTTCATTGAATAGATAGTTGATAATATTAATTTGGCTCTGTTCCACAATGCAGTAAACCATCCTTGAAGAAAAATTAAAAGCATTTTTCATGCCAACAATGCAGTAAACCATTTATAATGTATCCAAATTGAATCTTAACTTTATTATCCTTTTCTTTTTAGTAATGAAGTAACCCGCAGCCACTCATAACTTTATCTTGTTTGAATGTGCGTAGGTACTACTAAAAAAGATTGGGGAAAATGTGATATATTTTCATGGGTTGTTTAGTGATTAAGATGGAGGGGTTTTAATATTTGTGTTTGTGATTCATGGTTAATATCTAAGGGCAGTGGCGGATCCAGGACGAAAATTCAGGGTATGCCGGCTATGACGAGTCCAAGAATTTACTGTATAGTGGGGTTAAATTTTTGGGCGTTCGGGGGCAGCGCCCCCGGAAAAAAAATTTGAACCTTTTTTTGTTGGATAAATTAGGAGAAGGGAAAAAAAATTGAAACTTTTTTTTTTTTTTGGATAAATTAGGAGAAGAAAAAAATTGGGAATTTTTTTGTATATTTTGAATTTTGGGTGGACTAAATAATAATATAGATATAATATAATGTGTTTTTGGGGAGAGGGGCTAAAAAAACAAGAAAAAAATTAGGACTTTTTTTGTATATTTTGAATTTTGGGTGGACTAAATAATAATATCGATATAATATAATGTGTTTTTGGGGAGTGGGGCTAAAAAAAAGTTAGGACTTTTTTTGTATATTTTGAATTTTGGGTGGACTAAATAGTAATATAGATATAATATAATGTGTTTATGGGAGAGGGGCTCAAAAGAAATTTGGACAAAAAATTAAACAATACTTTTTTGTAACATAATGGAGTCAAACACCCATGACCTCATCTAGCAGTTTGGAGATCTTTGCCACTAAAGCAAATTTATTTTCGTTTCTTGGGGTGGTCCATGGCATACTTGGCCACCCCCTAGATCCGCCCCTGTCTAAGGGTAGGCGAGAGAGATCGCCTAGAGCCCCGGTTTTTAGAAAAAAATCGGAGCCCCCAAACAATTTTATATGCTTTATATATCACTATTAGTATTAATTTCACTAAATCCAATTAATTGTCACTAGAGAAATTCTTCTCAAAGTTGGAGTTAATTATCCAAAAAATTAGCGATGCTGTCATTGAAAAATTTCATTCTCATTATACGCAATGAGTGAGGAAGTTCTCACTAATAATCATTATTAACTAATCAATTAGTTAACCAGTAAAAAATTAATCCAATCTAATCTAATTCGATGTAATCAAATACAGGTAAGCAATCTATTGATTCTTATCTTTATATATAAAGGAAAGAAACGAACGTAAGAAACCTTAATATTATATTTGTAAAAAAATAAATTCCTATTTTGCAGGTACTTAATTTTTTATAATTACTTTCATACCAAACTTCGACTAGCACAATCATAAATCACTATATCTATATCTTCGTAATTGTTATTATTATTTTTATCTCTTATTTTCAACCTATTTTCTCTAATTATTCTTTACTTCATTATATTTAATGATCTATTTCATATTACTTAAATTTTCTATATTTTTTGGAAATGAGTTTGTATTATTAAATTTGTATATATTGATGTTGTTACCGATATCATTAATAAATTTTATTATAACTCTTATTATTATGTATTAAACTATTCATTATTTTTACTTTTAAAATACTATTCCATGCATCACACGGGAAAAATTGCTAGTACGTTAAAAAATAAAAGTACCATTTTACAGACTCAAATAAAAATACAAGAGTAACAAATAACACCAAAATAATTCACTAATGCAACACAAAATCAATGAAGTATTTTATAACATCCATCCACTGCCTTTTTTTTTTCTTTTTTTATTTATTAAATATTTTTTTTTGTGGAAGTGGGAATGTGTATTAATTAATTTATTAAGCACTAGATTTAAAAAAAAAAAGAATAATAAAAAAAAAGCAGATAATGGAAGGTACACATTATTGTTATCTAAGTCTTTTAAATTGAATGTGGAAATGTGGTCCTCACCACCATCATAATTCACTAGCAGAAAGTTCGAAATATAAAATCATTAATCCATACCCAAAATTATCATATGTTAATATTTAAAACATTTCATTCTAGTTTGTTGATCTGGATTCTCAAAATTCAATCAAAACTATAGAGCAGAACCTTAATAAATTAATAATCTCACTTAAATAATAGTTTCTCTCGGTTCCAACTTGGTGAAAACGTGTTAAATTATTAACTCGACAATTTAATAATCTACTGAATTAATAAAATTTCTTTAATTAGACCCGACTATATTAATTTATAGAGGTTCAACTATAATAGCATCCAAGGTTCATCAAGGTTCCAAGATTATGAAATATTATTCGTTTACTTGTACCATTTGTTATTGAAAATATCATAATAATTAATTTGTTTACTAGGGCAAAACAAGTTTTTTGACACTCGATTATTTAAGATTGCGGGTAAAAATATCGTTCGACCTCAACTCGATTGCTTATCAAACCGAAATCACACACAACTTTAAAAGCTCAGTAAAAATTGAAATAAATTTTAACAAACATGCGTTCAGCTCAACACAATTCGAAATTAAACCCTAAATGGCAAATTGTTGGTGCTAAATATTAACTCCTAATATAGTTGATATTAATCATGATTTAACAATACATATAAACCAATTATTACAACTCTAAAAAAAAAAAGCAAAACTAAATTATTAATTACCAAGCTACATACCACAAAAGTTTCATTGAATAATTATTAATTAATCACCTGAATAATTAACCTACCACAAATTGTTAGCCCTTTCCAGCTGCTTAGCAAAAGGTTCTTCTATAATTGTAGATAGCCCTGTAAAGTTCAAGATTAATATCATCATATATATATATATATATATATGTATATATATATATATATATATATATATATATAATATATATATATATATATATATATATATATGTATATATATATATATATATCTCTCTAGATCTCTAGTTAATGAAGAAAATTATTGAACTTATAATTAGTACTTACCGGATTTTTCGCGCCATTTACCATTAATTTCGGTCGATTCTTTCGCCTTGAGACGAGCATCTCGGAAGATCCACGTAGATTCCATCTGCTTGCCGATCATACGAACTGCATAGTAAGGAATCCTCACACGAAAACTATCCGCTGTCGATTTCGATTTCGTACAAACATTAAGAAACATTAAGCAATCCATTAAGCTTTCTTTAGCCATTTCTTTAATATCATATGCCTGTGATCTTATCCACAGGCTGTTCGCATGCGAATTCGGAGGGCAAGAAAGACAAAGCGCCCTCGTTGCGTCGCTAATTGCGCGATCGGGATCGTTTAGCAACAAATGGCAACGCGCCCGGTTGCTGTACATTGCAGCTCTTTCAGTTCTATACCTCAGTGGGCATATTTCCAAACACTCGGTGTACTTTGCCGCCGCTTCTTCGATTTCTCCGGCTGAAAACTTTCGGTTCGCTTGTTGCTTTACGAGTTTGGAAATGACCCTTTTGCCCATGAGCTTCTCACTTGTCATGACTTTCTCTCTCCTCCTCCTCTCTATCTTCAAACCCCATGTTTCTTGAAGCCCTCTTTGAACTACATGATCAAGATTCTTGATTTTTTTCGAGTTTTGGTAATTATAATCGCACACGAGCGCCCTCGTGATTGCTTCACCGACGTTTTTTCTATTTCCGATATTCTTGAGCTCGATTAAATCGACTAGGTATGAGGTGGCAACTTCGATAACCTCGTACCTCGTATCTGGATCTTTGAGGAGCAACAAAAGACAATCGATTCCCATGTATTGCAAATCGTCGGAAGATCTCGAAATCCTGCATAGATTCTCAATCACGTGTTTGGATTTCGAGACGTTCGCTCGTCCAATTTTGGCGTAGCAAAGAATTCGAAGAAGCTCGATTCCTCCGGTCGATGTGTGGTTCACCAATACTCCACCCCACATTTCGGACAAGTCTTTAAGGAAATCTTGACTCTTGCATATTAGACCTAGAGATCTCTCTTTAACAGCAAAACAGTTGAGAAGATGTACACTCCAACATTGAAGTTGGCGGGCCCACTCCTCCGCCTTTCGATTCTCCTTCTCCGCCCCTCCAACGCCGCGCGTAAGCAAATTACAGTGATAGTCCACCCTCTTTCTCTTCGGCATTCCAACGAACACGTTGTAAACATCCTCCAAACAAGACGAAGCCAGACGCATGGCGAGTTCCACCACTTCTTCCTCGAAAACCGCGACCGCTTCGAAGGTTTCTTCGTAGCTCGCCAGGTGGCCGAGCGCTCTAACGGCAACCCTTTGCTCCACCCAACTCATTTCCCCTCTCAAGAGCTCCATTAGTGGAGGTACGACGCCCGATTCGACCGCTAATGCAGCGAAACGGGCTTCGTTCATAGTGTAAGAGCCGATTATATGAGCCGCGTAATAAGGGATGTAGATGTTTTGATTCTTGATCAGCCATTCTTTGTCGTGAATCGATTTGCCGATCAAATCCGCCATGCATTGGAATATTCCGAGGGAGGGGAGATCCTCGTCGTCCGGTCGAGTCATTGCGATTTTCCACAGCTCGCTGACGACGAGGATGAGGTCATCGTCATCGTCGTCGTCGAGAGAGGATATTCCTTTTAGATACTCTTTGATCGACGTTTTCCCGATCGACGAGTCTCGCTCCTTCATGATGCAGAAGAAGCAGTTACTACTAGATTGGTTGGTGCAATTAATTTGCTCTCGAGGCATTTTTTTTAATCACTTCTCTTTCAGCTTTTAGGGTTTGGAGTTTATAATTAAGAATTAATGGAAATCTTAGTGAGTGGGATTAATTAGGGCAAAGTGGAGAGATTAAGCGGCGCATGGGAAGACTTTTGTGCCATTTTTAGCAGTTTGAGGATGCATGCATCAGCTTTTTTAATTAGTTTCAATTAGACCAGGTGGATTAATTAGACCAAATTAATTAAAAAAAATATTAAAATAATATGAAATTAGGTTAAAAGTTAGGGTGTGGAAGTTGGATATCTGCCTAAATTCTCCTGTTACCTCAACTTTAAAACATCCTTTTCTAGGACAATATCTAAACTTGTTCTTTTTCATGTCTGTTTTGTTTCGTAAATACAAACTATTTTGTCTTATGTGAAAAAAAGGAACAGTAATTTCTCATTATTGGAGGATAACTAGAGTCTAGAGCTACAATCCACTATTAATTAATTAATCCAGCTTTTTGGACCAATTATTATTTTTAATTTTTTTTAACGAAGGAACTAGTAGCGAATCATATATGCATATGCACACTAATACAAATTTGGTTTTTTACTACTACGACTAACCGTAGCAAAAGGCTTTTGCTATGCATTTGTTACGAATTTGCACCGTAGCATGCATATTTGGGCGTGACAAAACCTTTGTTACGGTAAATCCTAAAATTTACTACGACTCCAAGATTGTTCCGTAGTGAAAGGTAGCTTTTGTTACGGCTTTTTATCGTAGCAAAAAAAAATTCGTAATAAAAAAGCTATTTTTCTAGTCATATTAGTGGCACTGGATAAACCTACACTCTGATCTCTGGTCGTATAATAGCTTGCAAACCATAGATGTAAACCACACTAGGTTAACCATGTGTGTGACAAACTCGACCTAGCGACCGTTGGCAAGGAGATTCGAACTTTGGTCAATTGAAACAGACCCATCGCTTGCTCCAACCGCTAGGTCATCCCTTGCGGGACACTTGTCAAATAAACAAATTTCAAATTTATAAACACTAATAATTAAGCAGGTAATTAATTAGGTTCTCCAATTATGTTAGAAAATCTAGGTTTACTGATCAGATAATTTCTTGAGAAAGTGTATCAGATTAACAGAAACATCTTGGTTGCAAATGCTCTTTACTAGACATATTATTATTTCAGAAAAGCACATGATTAATTAATTAATTAATATCTGAATATTATATTGGCTTATAAATTAATTAATAAAATTATTAGAGGTGTGTTTGTGGTCCCTAATCACTTTTAGATAATGCATGCAACTCATTTTATGATCGATCAATAGTATGCAATTAATTAAATAATTTAAGGACATAAGCAAGAAACAAAGAAGTATATTTAAACAGTGTCAAGTACAAATGATGGTGGTCTCAAGAGTATATTAATATATAGTTTATTCGTTTATAGTACACCTGATTTTGAAACTTGGCATTATAATTAAGACACGATCCTTATTAATTATATTCTTGTGATAACTAATTAACCTGGGAGTTTGTAACGAATAATTTTCCACTGTTCAGGCCTTCAATACGAGGATCCTTGTAGTTTTTGTCTATTTATGATTTTCTATATGTACACTCTTTCTTATTGTAACTGAATCCTCAAAAAACTATATTTTCGTTACGTTGGATTTTGAGTTCAAACCGATTTAATCAAGAATTCAGTCAATTAAACCGATCTCCATTTGAGGTGGTCCAGTACAGACGGCCCAAGTAACACAAAGTCTACTTGATGACCTGAGATCCCTTTATGATCGTTGACTCTCAACTCTTTCATCTGGACCATTCATTAGATGTATTTCAACACCGTCTCTTTCCCAAACGTAAAAATTGATATTCTATCTCTTTTTGTTGTACCACCGCATTGAATTCTCCTTGGCATCTTCGGGCGACATGCCCGTTTGATTATGAGGATGGTTGTTCTACTTCTGCTCTCTACTTTGGAGACAATCTTACTTTTTTCATCTATATAGTATATCATTCAGTAAGAGAGAGGGTAATATACATACAAATTTGACTCTATTTCGAGTTGTAGATCTCAGCTCTTCTGTGAGATAGTAAGATCCACTTTTGAGTGTGGAAAACGAGAGAGTGAGTTAAAATCCGATGAGTTGGGGTTGGGGATGTGATACAAGATTAGGTCATATTAGTGGTAAACGAATAAAAATTGTGTACAAAAACAATTATCTTGGTAAATGTTTTATATCTGCAGATATGCTTGTATTTGATTCTTGCATCATGGAAAAACATACTGAGGTCAAGTTTCGCACTTCCACCTTTCCCAATCCCTCTGAATACTCTAAAATACTTGAATATTTCCATGAATTGGTGTATGGGATCCTACACGTATTCCTAATAATGGAAAACCGCAACCGCTTCGAAGGTTTCTTCGTAGCTCGCTCGCCAGGTGTTCAAGTGCTCTAGCAGCAACCCTTTGCTCCACCCAACTCATTTTTCCCCTCAAGAGCTCCATTAATGGAGGTACAATGCCCGATTCAAGGGCTAGTACGTGCAGTGAAATGGGCTTTGTTCATAGCGTATGAGCCTATTATATGAGCTGCATAATAAGGGATGTAAATCTTTTGATTCTTGGGCATCCATTCTTTGTTATGGATGGATTTGATGATCAAATTCGCCATGCATTGAAATATTCCGAGAGAGGGTAGATCTTTGTCGTTGGGTCGAGTCATTGTGATTTTCCACATCACGCTGACGACGAGGATGAGTTCATCGTCGTCGAGAGAGGATATTCCTTTTAGATACTCTTTGGGGTAAACAACATAAAATCCCCATGTGTTATGATAAACCTGCACCAAATCCCCCTGTGCTCTTTTTATTATGTAAAATCCCCCTGTGTTTCATTTTTTCTTGCACGAAATTCCCATTTCCGTTAATAGTTAACACCGTTAACTATAGAAGACATTTTATGCAAGTTTTTTGTAACATAGGGGGATTTGGTCCATGGTTTTGCAGCACAGGGGGGTCTATGCAAAATAAATTTATTCATTTAAAATTCAAATTATTTTCTTAAATTAAGTTCGAATACATCTATTAATTTAAAATATAAAAACTAAATAAATAATATTCGAGATGGAGATTGGAATGAATTCTCAAACTTTATGTTCTTTTCACATACAATTAATCCAAAATAAATTATAAAATATATAATAATTCTAATAAAATAATTATATATTTTAAAAAATCAAAAAAAATAAATACATTAGTAAATTATATCATATAAACATTGTGTTTTTCTTAAAAACATTCACATCACCTATTAAATTTCTATTTTTCATATTGCAACTAAATAAATGTGTTGGATTTAATTTAAGAAAATAATATGAAATTTAAAAAAATAAATTAATTTTGCATAAATCCCCTTGTATTGTAAAAAATATGGACTAAATCCCCCTCGGTTATGAAAAATTGCATAAAATACCCTCTCTAGTTAACAACGTTAACTTTTAACGGAAAATGGAATTTCGTGCAAAGTAAAATGAAACACAAGGAAGTTTTACGCAAGAAAAAAAAATATATGGGGATTTGGTGCAGGTTTTTCTTAACACGGGGGGTTATGCTGTTTACCCATACTCTTTGATGGAGTTTTTTTTCTGATCGAAGAATCTTGCTCCTTCATGATGCAGAAGAAGCAATAATCACTAGGATTGGTGCAATTTGTTCTTGAGGCTTTTTTTTTTGTGCATGAGCCAAATATGTTTGTTTCTTCATTAATTTCCCTTTTTAGGGTTCTGGAGTTTATTAATTAAGATTAATTATTTATAAATACTATAAAAGATGGAAAGTTTAGTGAGTCGGATTAAGGCAAGTGGCGAAGTTAAGCGGCGCACGGGAAGACTTTTGTGCCATTTTTGGACGCATCAGCTTTTTAGTTTCAATTAGACCAGGTGGATTAAGCTAATTAGTCGATATGTACGTAGTTAACAAATACTAATTAACCTAATATTATATATATATATCTTATATCTTATCTTATATATAAAAGAAAGAAACGTTGGACAACCCTAAAAAACCCTAATGATATTTCTGTAATTATTTATTTTTAATATTTTTTTTCTTTACTAATTTCTAACTATAATTTTAAAAAATTATCAAAATTGAAATTAAATGTGAAGAATCCCACCCTAATGATAATTCTGTAATTATTTATTTTTAATATTTTTTCTCTACTAATTTTCTAACTATAATTTTCAACAATTATCAATCACCTATTTTTCATCACTGAAGATAGAATTCAATGTGATAAATCTTAATATATATAGTTGGATTATAAATCTTAATATGTAATATTTTAAAAACTAATGTTATATAAAATATGAATAATACTATATTATTAAATTTCACTATGTTAGTGTATTATATTTTCTTATTATGTATTAAATTGATTTTTTTTCACTTTTGAAATAATACCCCGTGCATCGCAGGGACAAAATTCTAGTATATATAATAGTAAACTAATATGAAATTAGGTAAAAAGTGAGGGTACGTGTAGAAATTGGATCTCTGCCTAAATTCTCCTTTTGCCTTAACTTTGAAACATCCTTTTCTAGCATTATTCTATTTTGTCTTATGTGGAATTAAAAAGGGTTCACATTGGATATTAACAAGCAACAGTGATTTCTCATTATTGGAGGATAACTAGAGCTACAACCCACCCACTATTAATTAATACATACTACTTGGACCTATATATATATTTATTGATGTATGATACATGCATACATATATATAAATTATAATTATATATAATTTAGGAGTAAGATTTACTTTATTATATTTGAATTATTTGCCGACAGATAAATTAAATTAAAGTCTGGATATATAATTTCCAGAAGCTTGCATGCATACGTATATTCGCTGCTTCTCAATTTAGCATCGGGATTTTTACCGACTGATTGTTTCTGTCGATGGATCTGATTTAGCGACGGATTTTGTTAGAATACTGACCGAAATTTCCGTCGGCGAAGCCATTTTTTCTTGTAGTGAAATAAAACCACAACCACAAGAATCAAATTTCAAGTTTAAAGCTAATTAATGATTAAACAGGTAACTAAGTAGATTCTCTATATGGTGGAAAGCTAGGTTTACTGAGATATAAGTTCAAAATATGTATTCATAATTGTATACAAATGCGCT